ACTAGAAGCTAAAAGCAGAAAAAGCTAACCACTGAAAATAGCAAAATACTAGCTAAACGTAGCACAACTAGCAAAATAGAAGCTAAAAGCAGAATGAGAGCTAACCACGGAAAATAGCAAAATGCTAACAAAAAGTAGCATAAGGCTAACTAAAAGGAGAAAACCTAGCATAAAGCTAAAAACAGCTAAAATAATCCAAAAACAGAGGAAGTGTCTGAAGCAGATTCTAAAGAGAACAAAGTTTCTGAAGGAATTAAATGAGCATCATTGACTTTATGGGAAATGTATTTGTAAATAAAAGGTAAACAGTTTAAAACGTATTAAAGGTTTAAAAACACCCGCCTCCTGAATGAGCTGAATGTTTTGATGCATTTACAGCTGAAGTAGTGAAAGTAAACAGAAGAAGTTAGACTGTAAAAATAAAAGCTGACTCAGCTGAGGAGCAGCAGAAGCTACAGCCACCTCTGACCTGGACTCTGCAAGGACCTGGGCCCCTCAAGGTCCAGTGGGACCTCTCAAGGTCCAGTGGGACCTCTCAGGGTCCAATGGGGACCTCTCAGGGTCCACTGGGGACCTCTAAGGTTCCACTGGGGACCTCTCAGGGTCCAGTGGGACCTCTCAGGTTCCACTGGGGACCTCTCAGGTTCCACTGGGTACCTCTCAGGTTCCAGTGGGACCTCTCAGGGTCCACTGGGACCTCTCAGGGTCCACTGGGTACCTCTCAGGGTCCACTGGGGACCTCTCAGGGTCCAATGGGGACCTCTCAGGGTCCAGTGGGACCTCTCAGGTTCCACTGGGGACCTCTCAGGGTCCACTGGGGATCTCTCAGGGTCCAGTGGGACCTCTCAGGGTCCACTGGGAACCTCTCAGGGTCCACTGGGAACCTCTCAGGGTCCACTGGGTACCTCTCAGGGTCCACTGGGTACCTCTCAGGTTCCAGTGGGACCTCTCAGGGTCCACTGGGTACCTCTCAGGGTCCACTGGGGACCTCTCAGGGTCCAATGGGGACCTCTCAGGGTCCAGTGGGACCTCTCTGGTTCCACTGGGGACCTCTCAGTTTCCACTGGGGACCTCTCGGGGTCCAGTGGGACCTCTCGGGGTCCAGTGGGACCTCTCAGGGTCCACTGGGGACCTCTCAGGGTCCACTGGGGACCTCTGAGGGTCCAGTGGGACGTCAGGTTGTGAACTTTAAAGGATACATGTGAACTCCCAGCTCTCCTCCTCCCTCTGCCACCGTCTCGATGATCTTCTTCATCACCTCAGCGTGTCTGAAAACCAGAAGAAGGTCTGAGCAGCGTCCAATGAGGACAAGACCTCGGGCAAGACCTCGGACGGTCTCTGTTTGGGAAGGACAAGCTGAACCCAACCAGATGGGTCCTTCCTATAGCTCAGAACATGAAGAACCAAAGAGGGCCCACCTGCAGGGGTGCACGGAACACATGGCAGGTGGAGGAAGGTGGGGGTGGTTCTCAATGGTCACCGTCTTCTTCACATGGTCCTGACTGATGTCCTCATACATCTGCTCCACCGTCAGGGGCTGTCGGTCCTGGGAAACAGACCTATGTCAGTGAAGAACAGAAGAACAACACCAGGTCCAGATTTGCAGCAGGACTACGTACTTCATCATATCCAAAGAGCCAGAGGCGGGGGGTCTGGTAGTACTTATCGTAGGTGATGTACAGGTCGTAGGTTCTGGTCTGCAGGATGGCGTCTTCACTCCCTGCTTCGGCTTTCACCTTCGCCTCCACCAATTTACTGGTGTCCAGCGTGGCCTAGAACCAGAACAGAACCAGGATGACTGGACCCACAGCAGAACTTTGACCAAAGCTGCTGAAGAAGCTGAAACTCAGCTACTAATGCTAAAAAAAGCTGAACAATAGCTAAAAGATGAACCCACTCACTAAAAGACAAAAAGATAATCATTATTAAAATGTAGCAAAAAGTAGCTAAAAGCTAAGAGCAGCAGAAATTGAGGAAGCAGATACAAATGGAAAAACAAGCTAAAAGCCAAAAGTAGCAAAATGCTAGCTAAAACTATCAAATGGCTGGTTAAAAGCTGTAATACCCCCCTCTCTCTCAATATATAATATAT